AGATGGTCAATAATCTGAATGTTAAGTCTCAGAATTTTTTTCAGGGGCCCAGTCTAAAACTTAGCAGACTGAGCTTGCAATTCCAGAGGTCACGAGGTCAATCTCCCGGCATGGCTTTTGAAATAAAGGGGCAAGTTTCTTAAATCCCCCTACCTCTGTCCAACCAGCAGTATAAAGTCGGTAAGTAGGTCATGTGGTGGAGTAAAGTGTGGGTAGGATGTGGGTACTGCCACCTCTTGCAAGACATCTGGGCCATCTTCCCAGCAGTGGTGTGAGCAAATAATTGCACGGCTGCATCTTTGCTTGTTACGAATACATAATGCATTTGGGTTAATAGTTTTAAGCAACTACGGTTTGCATGTTCTATCTCTTTAGCACACTCACGCTTGCAGGGGTTCCTTTGTTAACTACATTTGCGATGAGTAAAGCATTATGCACCGCTGATAAAATGTCACAACAAATCACACCTCTCGGGCAGTTATCTGGCTTTAAAATTACATGCATTTTAGTGGATCGTACTGCAATGGCTCTGTAGTGAAATTGTATTCCAATCATTTACTTTGTATTCCAATAATTAACAACTTTAATCAATTGCAAGTTAACAATAAGGCAAACGTGCTTTGATTACAGATCATTTCAGAACCGCGGTGGCAAGATGTTAACTACCTCGCCTGGTATAGAGCAGGTCGTAGGTTCAACCCTGACCCTTACGCCTATATATTTGGAGTTTGTATGTTCTCTCTCCCCGTGGCCGCGTGGATTTTTCTCCCGGTGCTGCTGTGTTTTCCTCCACGTTTAGCGTATTTGGCTTGTGATAAATTTCCACATTCTAAGCCACATCGTTGAGCTATGATTTGTGGCCAGGTCGCTTTTGAAAAAGATGTATGTAGCTCACTGGGCCATACCTGGTAAAATAAAAAGTTAGTTTTAGTTTATTTCTGCTGTGACAACCGTAGTGCAAATAAAGTGATGCAAACACAGGTCGATGCATTTATAGATACCCCACTGATTTCTAATTGCCCTCTTACTTTCTGCTCCACAGAATATCTTGCAGAGATTGCTGTGTTAAAATATGTAATAGATGCATTGAGATCGGTAAAATGTTGGTGTCTACATAATTAAAACCGACCATTTTATTGGGGTATCCAGAAATGTTTAAAAAGGAACAACTTATAAACACGATACTTTATAACATAATTAACCTCCACTTTCAACATCCAACTGTATAAAAAAATAATTTTGCTGCACCTGTAGATAATGTATGGAATATCATGTCATCAACGTCAAAATGTTAGGCTTTAACGAGGTTTTATCTCGGGAAATGGTACCAAAAAAAACAAAAAAAAAACATTCTGAAATAAAAAACAATTAATTGGTAAAACAAGGGGGAGGAACACACCTGAGAGACCCACTCAGGGCAGAGATGGAGCAATGCCATCAGCTCGTATGTCGGAGCAAGATGCATGTTTCTTCTTCTCGTGACAGATGGTAATGGGTTTGGGAGGCCTTCATTCAGCAGTGGATAGATGAGGAATGATGCTTCTACTGATGGAGGGCAGTGGCCTAAATATTGATGGTGCTTCAACATTTATGGAATAATTTTTGGGTTAATATAGCAGGCACCCAGAATGCATAAACACAAATGACAGTATAGCAGTAGACTGCAACAAAATATTAAATTATATTTAGAGGATCCTTATTTTATGTTTGTTTGAAAACAAAAAAATATCCACGTGTCCTTTGGACGTGGCCATGTGTCAGGCCCTCCCAGCCAGCCAGCCAGCAACACGTTTAATCTCATATAGAGCCCTGTCCCTCTCCACATTTATCTTGTCTTCTCTCTGCCGTGCATCCCAATTTATCTCGATTCGTCACTCTCTCTGTTTCTCTCTTCCGTGTTTCTCTATTCCTCTGTCCCCTCTTCTACCTGTCCCTGCCTCCCCCTAATTTTTCTCTCTTTTCTCCACTGTACCCCCCCCCCCCCACCATCTATTTCCCTGTTTCTCTCTCTCTCCTTATTCCCCACCTCTTCCTTTCCCAGCTCAATCTCTCTTGCCTCTCCTTAATCCTCCCTCCCGCGCCTTATCACTTTCCCTCGCTATCATCTTTCCGTTTTGCTCTCTCTCTCTCTTTTCTTTCTCGTGTTCACCTTCTGAAGCGCTCGCTCGTCACCGTGGCGTGCGCGATGACCACCACAACCACCACGTGACTTTTCTTTCGTGTTGTGCGCGGTGCTTTTAGCGCCACAGCGCGTGGATTTGTAGCGTTTATTTTCATTTGTTTGCTGGTGACTTTGTGTATTTCATATCGAAATCGCCTCCAGTGATGTTGCTGCTGGCGGCAATAAAAGTTGTTTAAAAGTCTAAGTCTTTTCCTTCTGTTTCACGCCCGTTCACTCTCACAGTCTCACCCCAGCCCTCTCCTCTCCGTTCCTGTCTCTTGATCCCCCCTTCATCTTCCATCTCCCTCCCTCACCTCCCCCTATCTCCACCCTCCATCTGTTTCTCGTATCGCATTTGCGTGTTGGGTGGGGATGTGTTGAGTGACGTCATCACGCAGATGTGCGTGATGACGTCAACACCGCCGCACTATCACTTAGCCGCACGCCAGCCAGGAATCCAGGCACGAATCCAGCGAGCAAACTTGTTTTTGTGATTTAGTATCATTCTCCAAGTGGATTCACCTTTTGCATTATTATTGTTGAATGCAATACTGTAGTTTTTTTAATAGCATCTGGTTCTCATATTCTTTCATAAACCATGAACTCAAAATATGAAATATTACAGTTTATAACATTATTGGCATGGCACAATTTAACTGTCAGTAGAATACTCAGATAGCAGTCTTTCACATATATTTTAAATATGTATACAAAGCAATATGCAAAATCGATTAATAGGTCAATCAAAGAACGCCTTTATCAATTTCCAGTAAAATAGCCATATTGGCTGTCCTTCCGAGCGGTAAGCAATACGTAATAATAAATGTTTCACCAAGGGGTTCCTAAAATACATTTTCTCGTACCTGCCAATTTGTACCAAGAAACATATATAGACAATGTTCTAGCAAGAACAAGCTAATTTTATTTACATTAGTCATTACCTAATACGAATTGAAAAAGAGACGTGATAAACCTTTAAACATAGATTATTGGACGGCCTGGGAACTGTAGTTTCAAAACATAAAATCAATCCATTGTAACACATTAAGAAGTCATAGCCAATCTAGATTTGAAGTTTTCGTGATTGCAGGGATCCATACTCTTTGGTTCTTTCGGTAAAGTCACGTAGGTAGAAAGTAAAATAAATTAAATCACGACGTTTCGGGCGCAACACAAGCGCCCGTCATCAGGTGTGACACCCCCTCTCTATCTCTCCTCCCTTGCTCCTCCCCCGCCTCTTACCTATATGGCCTCTTGTCACGGCAGTTCTCTTTGTTTTTCTTGCTGTGGTTGTCCCACCTGATGACGGACGCTTGTGTTGCGCCCAAAACGTCGTGATTTAATTTATTTTATTTTATACCTACGTGACTTTACCGAAAGAACCAAAGAGTATGTCATAGCCAGGTGCGAGCCAGTGTGAGGCAGTTAAGGCGGTGATTACTGGGGAAACGGGGTTTGTTATGGCCAGGAAATGTATCAGCACTATGTGTTCTCATTGTACAGCCTTGTACAGGCTAATACTTTGTCTACTTATTTAGATCATTGTTGTAGTGTTTTCCCATTATGGTGGCTTGTAGAAAGGTTCATGGCTTCAAGTAGACGAAAAAAATACCATGCACCTTTTGTATACTGGATTTTAAAAGGTGCATCGCAAATATGAGTGAAACCAAACCGTTGGTGCTCATATTTTAAAGTATGTTTAGGGCGCACAATTATATTTAAAATATAAGGTATTTCAAAGCAAAATGCATTTCTTATAAACTGTCAGTATTGTGTCACTGAGCCATGAAATTGCAGCCGTGCTTATTGGGATAGAAGCAGCTGCGATATTTTAAACCGTTGGGCTATGCATCAGCAAGAAAAACAAAGTTTATACCATCAGGGGGCTCGGGAGACATTGTATTACTAAGACAAATGTGCTGGAAATTCCTACACATGGCTACATTCTGTTTCATAGCCTGCCTAATGGTTCCTGTGCTCACAAACAGAAATATATTCTGCTGCATTCTCGGTTAATGCCGTTTATGTTCGTGTCGAGCCATCAACCTTGCTTTGAATTGCAATCCCTTCTCAAGCTTTACATTTTAATATGCAGTTTGTGTAATGCAGAGCTGCGCGTGCCGCCTAATTCGATGCAATAATCGAATGCTCAAAGAGCCGTGCATAACGAAATGGCTACGTGTTTGGTGCCCTCTTCTGCACGACGCAATTAAACTCTGCAGTCTTCTTGACGGATGGTTAGAAAAAGTAATGGAATTTTAATTGTGCATTTGTGGGTGTTTTGGGTGGATGTGACCACTTGACTGTACGCAGCCGGTGGGTGGCTTGATACCTTGCCCAGATGACCTACACTACCTGCAGAGGTTAAAGTCGCAGCTCACGTGACATAGTGATAGTACTTATTAAAGGAATTTGGGACAAACACTACAATACGCAGATGTTGAAGGGGGGGGGGGAGAATAAACTGGCCTGCAAATGTAATGCCTGTGGAAATATAAAACATTGATCACATTTTCTTTGGTCGAATTGTGTTTTGGTGACACCAGACTGAAGATAGCCTTAGCAATTTACTTTTATGGTGATTGTTTTTTATGTTATTAAAAAATAACATCAAAACAAAGCCGTGTCAACTTTTTTCATCGTAAATATATATTTGTAATTTAATTCAATTTATTCAGGGGTAAGACAATACCCGATGTGGTGACATTTCGTCTGACAGGATTTTATAACAACTCTTCAGTTGTGATTATGGTTTGTTGATCAAAGCATACAAATATATCATGTTCATATTCCACTGTTGATTCATGCAAATGTGATATTTCGTGTTTATTTTTCACAGAATTACCAAGACCTTGAAGGAATGCCTTTTCCAGAGGGCCCATTCCGATCATCTGTGAGTGCCTTAACTCTGCCTGCAGTTAAGCATACATAATGTACTTTTGATCAGGGTTATAATTATTATTGTTTATTTATGTTTATGTGCAGTAAATGGATGTCCCATTCATACTGAACCACAATTGACAAAGAATGCAAACAAAAGTTTTCCCTTAATTAACGTAAAACGAATAAATTATTCATTGCAGTTTCTCTATTTAAACGATCAACAAGTGGGCGATGCCACGTTTGGCAGTGATGCACAAGCACAAATACCGCAAACAATCTCAACATGTTTGCTAAAAGGAAACATTTATAATAGGTGACGTTTCGGAAATGACCCTTCCTCATAGCACAAGAAGGGCAATTGCAACAAAACGACACCCTTCTTGATTATGAAGATGGTGTTGAAAAGTATGAATAAGATGATAGCACTGACAATGATGGTATATAGATAATCATAATAATTCTTATGATGATGATTCTATATTCGTGCTCACGATACTGTTAAATGAATGCTGCTGCACATGAAGAAGACGATGATGTTGATGCGGAAGAGGAAGTATTCATCGTAAAGACACGCTGAGTCTTCAATTCATGTTTAGTGTTTGGCATTTGGGAGGATATTTTAGGACCCAGAGAGAATCCACACATGAGGGAGTTTCATTCAAAGCTCCACACAGATATAGTCAATAATCCATTGCTGTGCTGAAATCATCAGGCCATCTCCCAGCCCAGCAGGTTTGAGAATTGCTTAAATCACCATATTTGCAGAAAGTTTCTACAATTGCCAACTCTGCCCTAACTGCCACACACTTTGGTCCATTTCGCAATTGTGCAATATTTCGTGGAGGATTGGTTTTGCTTTTCAATGGCCATACATGAAATGCCAGGTGCAAAATCGTCTCGATTTTATGTATAATTGGCCGTCATTCTGCAAAAAAGTGGCAAAACGATGGTCCAAATAGCTACATGAATCAGGTCCTACAAGATGAAGGCTCAGCCAGGATTGACTCCGCTATAATCTATATGGGATCAATAAAACAAACACCACCTGCTGTGTACCTGCTTTGTTGGAATCTAAAAGTGGCGGTCTCGTGGCAAGGCTTCTCCCAACTACAGTTGTGTGGATTTTCCACCACTGGTTCAGAACTATGACCAAATGTCACCGCTGCCCAATGGGTTATCATACTGTTACTCACTTGAAAAAAAAAGGCTGATTCATTCTTATAGAGGCAAAATCTACATCCATAATATAAATGTATGGTTTGAAGTGCAAAAACCTGCAGCTAAATGCTGTTACTTTTCATTATACAAAGTGCAGTGAATGTCAGAACTGCAGATGTTCATTTCAGTGGGATATAAAGTCTGTAAATGTTGTTTACTTTTTTACCTTGCTAAATTACTTTTTTCTGGCATATAAATCTTTGGCGACAACATTTTTTATTTACATGTCGTGTTGAAAAGAAAGTAATTATCTGTTAATGCACTTCCATTCCCGTTCTCTAGAGTTGGCCAGGATATCATGGCGAGGGATTTCTAAAAGGGGAAAAGGTATTTAATGTTTTTTTTTCTTTTAACACAATAATGCTGAAACATATATTATATATGTGTTTTTTTGAAATGTTAACTATATACAGTAGGTTTGCGACAAGGGATTATTACCATAAATTAAATGTCTACTTATATATTACAAACAGAGAAATGTCGCAGGGCATCCGATTGCTTTCTGTTATCACAAATGTGTTAATAATGTTGTTGTGAGTATTTTATGATTTACAGTGCCTTGCTGGATGAAGGCCTGCCCGTGCTGTGTTGGTCGTTGGGATTGTTTGACCATGTGGGGAGCGGTATCGTAATGGTTAGCACACTGCCCTGTGAATCTGATGACCCAAATTAAATATATTCCTCACAACCAATAACAGTAATAAATATTTGAACTCATCCTGGGCCTTATGTGCTTCTCCTATCGGCGATCTTCGTTTTTGTCTATCGACCATGCTTCACCACGCTGGTCAGTCTCAGTTGGTGAAGGGAGCTAGGGAGACCCATACTTGGATCACATATCCCTCGCCGCCACTACTGTTAGAGTGGCCAGGAATCGAACTCATCTCGCCGGGTTCATAGTGCAACGAGCTGCCCGTCGTATAAAACCGTATCTGAGAATAATAAGCCTTTATTAATATGTAAATGTGCCTATTTACATGGGTAAAATAAGGAATGGTGGAATTATAATGGTCATTTTTCGAAATAGGGGATAGAGCAGTGGCACATTGGTCCGTGCACTGCACTAGGAATCTGGCAATCTGAGTTCCCAGCCATGGCTGCTTCAATGGCGCATGACATCTGAATCGGTCCGGAGTTCCTGCTAACCCCCCCCCCCCCCCCCCACTTTGCTACCCCCATTAAATAACACGAACCATTTTGGTGAAGTATGGTCAAACAATCCCCGGAATTGAAACGGAATGCGGCTGCCGTAATCCAGGAGTAGATTGACAAAGGGCTGTAAATATTTATAACGGTCCTGATGAAAAACGACAAATGGAAATAAACTAGTTCAACATTTCCAATTAATATGGAAATTGTCACCACATTTTTATTTCTGTTCAAGTTTTACTTTCTTCGTGAGTAAATTTAGATAAATAAATAAATTACATTTCTCATGGCAAGAACAGGATGATGATTAATGTCTTATCTTTTATTGTGTAGTACCAGAGGTGTGGACTCGAGTCATGTGACTTGGACTCGAGTCAGACTCGAGTCATGAATTTGATGACTTCAGACTCGACTTGGACTTGCATAACAATGACTTTGTCCCACCTCTGAGGTGTGGACTCGAGTCATGTGACTTGGACTCGAGTCGGACTCGAGTCATGAATTTGATGACTTCAGACTCGACTTGGACTTGCATAACAATGACTTTGTCCCACCTCTGAGGTGTGGACTCGAGTCATGTGACTTGGACTCGAGTCAGACTCGAGTCATGAATTTGATGACTTCAGACTCGACTTGGACTTGCATAACAATGACTTTGTCCCACCTCTGAGGTGTGGACTCGAGTCATGTGACTTGGACTCGAGTCGGACTCGAGTCATGAATTTGATGACTTCAGACTCGACTTGGACTTGCATAACAATGACTTTGTCCCACCTCTGAGGTGTGGACTCGAGTCATGTGACTTGGACTCGAGTCAGACTCGAGTCATGAATTTGATGACTTCAGATTCGACTTGGACTTGCATAACAATGACTTTGTCCCACCTCTGAGGTGTGGACTCGAGTCATGTGACTTGGACTCGAGTCAGACTCGAGTCATGAATTTGATGACTTCAGACTCGACTTGGACTTGCATAACAATGCCTTTGTCCCACCTCTGAGGCGTGGACTCGAGTCATGTGACTTGGACTCGAGTCAGACTCGAGTCATGAATTTGATGACTTCAGACTCGACTTGGACTTGCATAACAATGACTTTGTCCCACCTCTGAGGTGTGGACTCGAGTCATGTGACTTGGACTCGAGTCGGACTCGAGTCATGAATTTGATGACTTCAGACTCGACTTGGACTTGCATAACAATGACTTTGTCCCACCTCTGAGGTGTGGACTCGAGTCATGTGACTTGGACTCGAGTCAGACTCGAGTCATGAATTTGATGACTTCAGACTCGACTTGGACTTGCATAACAATGACTTTGTCCCACCTCTGAGGTGTGGACTCGAGTCATGTGACTTGGACTCGAGTCGGACTCGAGTCATGAATTTGATGACTTCAGACTCGACTTGGACTTGCATAACAATGACTTTGTCCCACCTCTGAGGTGTGGACTCGAGTCATGTGACTTGGACTCGAGTCAGACTCGAGTCATGAATTTGATGACTTCAGACTCGACTTGGACTTGCATAACAATGACTTTGTCCCACCTCTGAGGTGTGGACTCGAGTCATGTGACTTGGACTCGAATCAGACTCGAGTCATGAATTTGATGACTTCAGACTCGACTTGGACTTGCATAACAATGACTTTGTCCCACCTCTGAGGTGTGGACTCGAGTCATGTGACTTGGACTCGAGTCAGACTCGAGTCATGAATTTGATGACTTCAGACTCGACTTGGACTTGCATAACAATGACTTTGTCCCACCTCTGAGGTGTGGACTCGAGTCATGTGACTTGGACTCGAGTCAGACTCGAGTCATGAATTTGATGACTTCAGACTCGACTTGGACTTGCATAACAATGACTTTGTCCCACCTCTGAGGTGTGGACTCGAGTCATGTGACTTGGACTCGAGTCGGACTCGAGTCATGAATTTGATGACTTCAGACTCGACTTGGACTTGCATAACAATGACTTTGTCCCACCTCTGAGGTGTGGACTCGAGTCATGTGACTTGGACTCGAGTCAGACTCGAGTCATGAATTTGATGACTTCAGACTCGACTTGGACTTGCATAACAATGACTTTGTCCCACCTCTGAGGTGTGGACTCGAGTCATGTGACTTGGACTCGAGTCGGACTCGAGTCATGAATTTGATGACTTCAGACTCGACTTGGACTTGCATAACAATGACTTTGTCCCACCTCTGAGGTGTGGACTCGAGTCATGTGACTTGGACTCGAGTCAGACTCGAGTCATGAATTTGATGACTTCAGACTCGACTTGGACTTGCATAACAATGACTTTGTCCCACCTCTGAGGTGTGGACTCGAGTCATGTGACTTGGACTCGAATCAGACTCGAGTCATGAATTTGATGACTTCAGACTCGACTTGGACTTGCATAACAATGACTTTGTCCCACCTCTGAGGTGTGGACTCGAGTCATGTGACTTGGACTCGAGTCAGACTCGAGTCATGAATTTGATGACTTCAGACTCGACTTGGACTTGCATAACAATGACTTTGTCCCACCTCTGAGGTGTGGACTCGAGTCATGTGACTTGGACTCGAGTCAGACTCGAGTCATGAATTTGATGACTTCAGACTCGACTTGGACTTGCATAACAATGACTTTGTCCCACCTCTGAGGTGTGGACTCGAGTCATGTGACTTGGACTCGAGTCGGACTCGAGTCATGAATTTGATGACTTCAGACTCGACTTGGACTTGCATAACAATGACTTTGTCCCACCTCTGAGGTGTGGACTCGAGTCATGTGACTTGGACTCGAGTCGGACTCGAGTCATGAATTTGATGACTTCAGACTCGACTTGGACTTGCATAACAATGACTTTGTCCCACCTCTGTTGTGTACTGTACATACATGCAACTATACATGGAGGATAGAAAAGCAAGAGCAACATCACTTTGTAAAATAATTTCACCGATAAACATGTAAAGGGATCCGTGATGGACTTATGGCTGAAACAGTGAGTCATGTGCCCCTGACTTTCTCAGCGTCAATCCATTTATTTAAACTCAAAATATTTTTTTTAATTCATGCATGAAATGAACAACTTTCTTCTTCTTGGTTCTTTCGGTAAAGTCACGTAGAAGGAAAGTAATAAAATAATAAAAATAAAACATAATAAAATAAAATAAATATTATATTCTTTTATTATTATATTATATTATTATATATTTTATTTTATTATGTTTTATTTTTATTATTTTATTACTTTCCTTCTACGTGACTTTACCGAAAGAACCAAGAAGATGAATCCCTGCAGTCACGAAAGCTTTAAATCGAAATAGAACAACTTTCTGTTGCTATGATTACTCTTTGGTCGGTGCTCGTGCTGTTTGGGATCTTGTGAACACGGTTTGTGTCCTTCTAGGGTGACCAAGGAGAGGCCGGTGGACCAGGACAACCGGCTCCTCCGTTCTCAAAAGTGAGTCACAGTCTGTGCGCCAGGCCGCAAACAACCACATCCGCACAATCTCCAGGGCGCCGTGCCGCTGTAAAGCGCATTGGCGACTCTAATACGGGTAATTTTTACTTGTCTCTGCATACACTGTGCACACATGAGTACACACATGCATACAGACACCATTCACCACTAAGTGGTGGTGATGTGCATGTCACCGCAGCGCTTGTGGCATGCTAAATGCACCTTGAGGACACGTAAAATATTAAAGACTCGTTGACAAGATATCACGAGACTGACCCAGGTGTTAAGTGCTCACTGACTAGAATGACTGTCAAATGTACCAGCTGTGCTCCCTACTGTCCCATACTTTGCTGTGTTTTAGCTGCCCGGTGCTGCACTCGTTGTTGTGAGTGTCGCTCCTCCACTGTTTGTTGTTGTTGGAGGACGACTGCCTTCACTTTCCCAGTATCCTTCATGAGCCTCCTCCACAGAATCCGATCTTGACACCGCGTGTACCAATCATCAGAAATTTCAATCAGCTTTACATTCTCCTGAACCACATCAGGCCATCTATTTTCTACTCAATGCCATGCCCACTTAGCCCCTTTACCTCGCCAAATAAAAGCTCCTTCGGCATGCAGTGGCTAGGCATGCAGGCTATGTTACCCAGCCAATGCAGCCCAGCCTGCCGGAGAAGCTCACTTATGGAATTATGTGCAGATATTTCCAGGATCTGTGAGGTCCTCACACAATCCAGCCTGGTTAAACCCAGAATGGAGAGTAGACATGCGAGCATGAACGTTTGAAGCCGGAACAGCTGTTTTCTTTAAAGGGGATACACGTTTCTCAAGCATAGAGGTAAAAGGGCATTACTGTGTTTATACGCCAGGTAGTTTCCACACAGCACTATGCAGTCGATCAAAAGATAATGCTGCTCGATTGATGCAAATGTAAACCTCTGCTGCTAAACTGAAGTGAGCCATGAGCATGTTGCCCGAGTATGGGATCTCCTCCATTCTGATTTACAACTGTCACATGCACACACAGATATTCACACTTGTATGCACATGCACACACAATCACAACAACCACCGTTCGCTACTAAGTGCCGGTGACGTCACCACAACACTTGTGTGCACGCAAAAACAGACACAGCAAAGACAAATATCCCTCGTATAGCCTCTAAGAGACTGTTGGGGCAAGTGCTGTTAGCGAGCATCTATGAAAGCTGGCACGCCACACAGAGAGGGGTGGGTGGCCAGCACCATTCCCGGTTCGCATTTGTCTCCCTAGTGGCAATGTTTACACACCGCACCAGGTACTAATTTGAGGCTGAGTCGACCTAGAGGAGGCTCAGGTTCAGATAATCGTCACTAGTGTTGGCCATGAGCGGGAATCGAACTCGGGGTCGCCAGGTTCGTCGTGCAGTGTGCTAACCGCTACACTACCACTCCCCTACATGGGCACACACATACATACGTACATACATGCACATAGACGCAAATACAGAGACCTCTTGGATGTGTTTTTTTTTTGGCAGGATGCATGCTGGGTTGTCCCCCCAAACTCTTCCCTCCCACCTTTCCTCCTGCTTTCAAATCCTGTGTTGTCCTCCAGCAAGCTTTTCTGAAAATCGAAAAATCTTCATGGAGCGATATTTGTTTTCTTGTAATGCTGAAGATTGTTTGTGGCATGTCACATCACAGAGTGGTTCGAGAAATGTGTCCTGAACCCAGCGACCTGAACATGATTCCTGGGCACGGATAACATCAGTGGCGAGTGATATATGAGTCAGTCCTGTGACCCCCTTCACCAACCTGTACTGGCCAGCTTGGTGAAGTATGATCAGACCATCACCATGGCTGACGTGGTGTATGGAAGCCTTAATCCAATACTGGATTAACACAGGGATGGTGATATGTAAAAAAATAACGGAACAATAAAATATTCGATGATAAATACCAACTTATAATTTGCTAAGATACAGGTAAATATATGGATACCAGAAAATATGTGGGGTGTGTGTTGTACACCCCTGCCAATGCAATACCTTAATTTTGTATTTGACATTGAATATATATATTCGTCTATGGGGGACAGGTTGACAAATTGAGATGGTAAATTATACTTTGGTATAGCCATAGCGATATCCCCCTGAGCCACAGAGCAATCCTGCATTGCAAGAATGTCGATCCACTGAATGTTATAATGTGGTAGCATGAAGGCACTGGTATCATTCTAAGAGCATGCAAAAAAACACAACTGTTTTAATATTTTGCATACATCTAACCCAGATTCACCAGATCTCATGACATTTTAATGCAAGTGGATGACGCACACGCATGGCACAAAACACCAGTTAATCCAGATGCAGATTCCATTAAAATTGCATTTTACGGTTATGCTTCAGTGCACTTAACAAAAATTTTAAACATAACCATAGGTAGCATCGACTCGTGTTAACAAATCTTCGCATTGCCCTAACCTTGTCGTCACATCGCTGTAGACTAGTCGGCTCATTTTGCGCCCACACTTTGCACGTTAACTTGTCGCACGACAGTTAACATATCTTCGGATGAATTACTAGTTATAGATTCAGGACATTTGAGGTCATTATGGCAAAATCATTATCCGTGGGGACAGGCATGCTTTCTAATTGACATTTTGAAGATGACTCTTAAAACTGAACATGGTGGTAAATGACCTCATAGTGCTGGGAAGGTTGTTCCTTCAGAGCTATAGATTTCCTCTGGCACTATTCAGCAGCCATTGAACTATATTGGCAATCTAAAGGTTACATATGGAGCTCACTCTACAAGCCTTGCAAGTGAGACCAATATAATCAAACTGTACCAGATAATAACAAAGAATGTCTTCTCACTTCCCTTGTCCACACCGCATTGGCTTTAAAGTCTTATGAGTATTATTGTCATGTAATTAATTTATGTAGGCATGCATATGTAGCCATTTAAATGTCCACATATAAAATGTGTATAATATGGATAAGCGTAACAGTTGAAGTGGCTACATATATTGCATAGCTATTGTATTAAAAAATATATATTTATCAGCTATGCTCTTATATGCCTGAACATCGACATCCCAACTGCACGCTAATTTTTTGGGGGGGTATTTTACTTTGTGGTATGGTATTTTACTTTGTGGTATGGTGGAACCTTCGACACTTCACGTGACCTCAAGGTGCACCTAGCCTGGCACAAGCGCCCTAGTCCTGTCACCACCACATAGTGGTTATGTTTATGTTTGTCGTTGTGTGTCTCGAAGACAATGCATCGATTTATCTGTGCGTTCGAAAATACTCAATTAAACTTGAATTCCTTCGTCCTTCGTGGATAAATTACACCGACAATTTGACATCAATTGTTAAGCACACCAACAGACACAAATCCTGCCCTCTGTCCAATCAAATTTGCACATTACACAACGGTCAACCAAAGCAAAGGTTGTGGTAGTACTATGCATACTCCACATTATTTGCGTAGGTGTTTTAAAGGCGTGGAGATACACACGTAACTCATGTGACACTACCCTGCAGCCGATTTATAGCTCGTTTAAGTCTTCTTTACCCTCTTTCTTTGAATAGTTGCTTGGCACTTGGTTGCGAGTTTCCTTCGGATTTACAGCCAACCCGAGTATTCCCTACACCTGTTAATAATTAATCTCACAAATATAATAGGTCTCAGTACCTATAATTATTCATCGGTTATTCATAGAAATACATCACTCTGCATGGGATCTTGTCGGATTTCAGAAGCGATTCTATAATTTGGAAGTTATTCTGAGATCTGACAGCCTGACTAGAAATTGGATGGGATACTGTCTATGAATATCAGCTTTTGTCGTAGGCTTGGCTTGCGTGGTGCCTAAGGGATGGCAGAACAGCAATGAATGCTCGATTATATCAATGCAGAGCTTTGAGCACATCCCTGCACTCAAATAAAGTGGGTTTCTAGAGACACTGCCTGACTCCCACACACCAAACAATCATTCATCCATATGGCCAAAAAATCCCGACGATCAACCCGCCTGGAAATGTATATTGAAGCTAAATTAGGCCTTCCTGGGTAAATAAAGAACATCGCTGACTCCCCATGATTCGACGCGGTGTGGGAGAGGCCTTCATCAAGCGGTGGACTGGTTGGTCTTGGGTGGTGTCCAAAGGCTTCAACTTACGGGAGTGCAGGAGGGCATTGCGATGGAGAGTTTTGATTCAGTATTGCACAGAAAACATAAAACTGGCAACTCAAACAAAGGACTAAATACACGTATGGTTTGTGCGTGTGCGGCTATCGTATGGTGAATTTAGAAAACTCACCGGGCAAATGGGGCCAATTGGCAGACCTCTAGGGGATGAGACTGGCAAGGTACACAATGTGAGCCGATGTGAGGTGACTAGAGAGAACAGGGGGGTCAGGTGCACACGGTGTCCGTGTAGCAAACAAATACACTTGGGAGCACGAGCATTACACATAAGTGGCAATACTAGAAAAACACCAGCATCACACATTGGGTTTGCACACACCCACACTTTACATGCTTGCGCAGTAGTAAAATGTTTAAATGCAAAATAATAATAATAGGTTCCGTTTGGCTGTACAGTCTGTTGGGCGAGGTTTTTTATAGTTTAATGAATTGCCATTGATGAAGGTGGATGCTGCAATGCGATAATGGTTAGCAGCACGCTGGGTTTCGATCCAGAGGTCACCGGTTGAAATTCCCAGTGTGGCAGTTGAAACAATGGGGCAAGTTTCTTACATTCCCTTCCACCTCTTTCCACCCAGCAGTGTAATTGGGTCCACCGCTAGTCGATTGTATGGTCATGTGTGGTGAGGTAAAGTGTGGGTACATACACCTCTTCCAAGAGACCTGGCCAGTTTTGAAGAGTAGGCTCTCAAAAGCCCCTGCTATTGAAGGGCCTCATTGCAACGGCAGCATTAAAAGCAATTGCAGGTCTGGATGTTTACATTTGTAATCAATAGAGGTGGGATTCATTCCTTTAA